CTTAAAAATTATTGTAACACTTTGATTTTCATACCTTATATTAATAATATTTTAGAAATTATTTTAGTATGTTAATGTATTTATTTTGGGAGTTTTGGTACTATTTAAGTATTCATACGAGCATTATTTTGTTATAAAACATGATTTGTAATTATTATTTTGATATTATTTAAATAATTATATGAGTACTATTTTATTTATGAGACGTGATTTATAATTATTATTTTGATTAGTGATATATAGGTAACTTTTATGAAATATATTTTTATTAATAATTGTGCTTATGATTATTTGATTAAAAGGAAGAGATATGTTTTAATTATATTAATTATTTTATGGAAAGGGAAGGAAGGACGTGATGGTCATTTGATTAATTATTATTATTTTTATTATTATTTATTTTATTTTTATTATTTTAAGAAGGGAGTTATCAAAAGTTACCTTACGCTTCATTCTCCTGACTTCTCTTTATTCATTTTCTTTATGCGCTCTCTGAAGACCAAGGTGAAGTTTAGTGGAAAACATACAGAAGGGAGGGTTGAATATGTGTGTGAAAAAAGGATTTTGAAAACCATTTTTGCAAAGGTGCTACTTTCCGTCAGAAGATAATATTTCAACTACGTAAGGAAAGTGTAAGATTGGTTAAAAAGAACTTTGCGTCTAAAGATCTATCGTCTGTTCGAAAATGGTTTCCTTAGTCAAACAAATATAAGTTCATCCAAATATTGTTTAGAAAATAGATAGTAGTACACGAAGTTTTTCAGAGTGATGAGTCAATGTGAGTAAAGCAGTGTTTCTAAATCAAATAACAATGCACAAAGTTTTTATACTGGTTCATTCATTTTGAGCTACGTTCAGTCTCCTTCAACTGAAGGGTTTCACTAATCACAATGGATTACAAGTATTCTTAACCATTTCTGGTTCGTTAACCTCACTTGCTGACGCTAGTATTCTTAAACCACTTCTGGTTGCCCAAGTATTGTCAACCACTCCTCGTTCGTCAACTTTACTTGTTGACGCTAGTATTCTTAAACCACTTCTGGTTCTACAAGTATTCTTTTGCTAGCCTCTTCAGGCTTTACAGACGATAAGTGTTTTGAGTGTGTTTGTAACTTTCACAGAGAGAATGGAATGGTTTCAACACTCACTAAGGTTTTCAACCCTAGTTTTACAAAAATGTGTTTAGAGTGTGTATGTAATTCTCATAGAAAGGATAAAATGATTTCTACACTCACTAAGATAAACTATCTTAGTTTTACACTTATATTCAACTTTTTTGCACAAGAAGAGAGGTGAGATTGTTTTGACACTTGTTTTTGTTTATTGCTTGATGCTTCTATTCACCTCTTTTTTTCTCAGGTCTTATTATTTATAGCCTTGTGATGGATCTGCCCGTTGTTTGAATTTGAATATGTCCATTGAGGCGGAGCTTTCTGTTGGTGCAGATAAACGTTCGTTTATGGCTACACATATATTGTTCATTTAATGCGTTTGATTTTGCATTAAATCACTACTAGAAAAACACTGTTCTACGTCACCATATTTACATTGGTTCCTTACAAAATGATGTAAAAAAATGTGCGGTGGCAATTTCATAAATAATTTGAATAAATAAGAATATTTACATCAATTATTCTAAAAACTGATGTAAATATAAACAATTCTACATCGGTTATATGAGTGACCGATGTAGAAATGAAAATAGTGAGCTCAACCTAAAACGCTCTCAAACCTAAAGCACTCACTTAGCCAAGGCCTACCAGGCGCACTCGCTGCTCGACGGCGCCACGGTCGCGGTAAAAGCCATGCAGCCCTGCATCGTGCACGAGATTGATGCCATGCGCCGCCTCCAGCACCACCCTAACATCATGGACTTCGCCGGCAGCGGCGAGCTCTTCTCCAAGCTCTCCCGCCGCGGCCGCCTTCCGGAGTCCCTCGCGTGCCGCTACTTCTCGCAGCGC